ATGGTTGATGGTTTTCAGTTTTTTTAAAATTGATCCAAGCAAATCCATTTTCTAGGTGAAAGATATATATCTTACTAGACGCTCCGACGAAGGGCTAACGCTTGATACGTCAGCTTTTATAACCGTAACGGTGGCCAATTTACCATTTCAACTTTGTCGATATATTCAAATCATTATCTTACTAGACGTTTTGTTGTGCAGTATCGCAAAACTACAAATAAAAATACTCAGCGATACTACACAACAAAACGTCTTCATAATGCAACACGCCAAATTGTTAATCAGTGCGGGCGAATTTCGCGGATATTTGTAAAGTACAAATACCGCGTGATATTTGTGCTTGTGTAGGGCGTTATTTGCACTCTGCGAAGCACAGTTGAATAGTAATTAGGAGGAATGACTGAATGAGTATCATTTATTTGCTCCAAGAACCCCACAATTCTGGGAAAATGTTGGGTCTGTGACGGGTTACATCCTCAGTACTGGGAACTATGCCATTTTTAAACAAGTAGGAAATTAAACTTTAATTTGCACTATTATATGGCAAGGTGGTATTGAAGTAAATACATGCATGCTTATTTGGTTCATAATTGTTCAATATTTTGCCCTACAGACCATTTCCACTTTCCCAAAGATGGTAACCCGTAAATTTTTTCTTTTGAAAGGCACCAAATGTAAAGCCCTATGGAGGAATATTGGCCCTCAGTTGTATTTGTGAAGACCTCTGGAAAATATTCTCTAAAGTGGCCTTCAGGCTTGGTAATAAGTTATTATTTGCAGTTATAGCTGAGTTCATTTCCTGCAATGACATTAACAAAATGAACGAGAGATAGTTGATTTCATTTTAATACATTTAATTTAAATTTAGGGTGATGTGGTAGGCATGGCAATCCTGTCCACTGTGGGGGCCTCACCCACCACGGCTACCACAGCCCCCTCTCTTTCCTCTTCCCCCGCACTTAAAACACTCTTTCTGAATCCCTGTAAGGTAAAAAAAAAAAAAAAACACAAGTTAAAAGGTTTGACAAGAGAACACCCTTACAAGGAGATGTTACCCAACTGACAAATATACCCAAAAGGGCTAAATGAATAACCCTAGTATCCTAAATCTCTACTTGTATGATAATAGTTCTTAATCTTTCCTAGAAATGCTGGCATACTGCAGCTTTTGTTGTAATTGGAAATAAAATATTTGTGTTTTGCAAACTAAGTTAGTACAATAGACCTTCAAGGGCTTTTTTTAGTTGATCAATATTTAATTTTAATTTCTTTGTCATCAGTCAAAAATACTCACATGGGTAATTACCTTTAAATATATATATTTTTTCACCTTTAAATCTTTCAGAAATTATCTTTATCTGCTATGTGAGAATTCTTAGGAAAAGGAATTTATTTCATGCATATATTGAGATTGAC